AGCAGGCAGCAGGAGCAGTGAAAGCAGGAGACGACTACGATGACGATCACTGCGACCGCCACTCCGAACACCACGCCAAGGATCAGCGGCAACCTGCGTGGGGACAATGAGCAGAACGCGTGAACTGATTGGAAAGAGCGAGTTTTGCTCATTTCGCGCGCGCTGAACGAGGGCTACGTGACTAATTTTTTTTTTTTTTTTTTTATTATTATTATTATTATTATTCATTTATGTATTTTTTTTCTCCTTAACGCCTGGGGTAAAAAAAAAAAAAAAAAAAAAATGAAGAAAAAAAAAAAATCGTCTACTAATTTCAAATACTATTCATTTCATATACGGAAAAAAAGGATCTTTTCAAACACGTTCCGCCCAAAAAAATATGTGCAATTACCATGATGATTAGGCAATTATACTAGGAATCAAATAAGGGCGGGAAAAAAATGTTTTAAACGCAGTCCTTCTTCATTAGCATCAACGCATTTTTTTTTCTGATTTATTTTCTGAACGATTAACAGGCTGTTCTTTCCCATTAAACAGCTGACTATCCTGTTCACGAAAACATTACTATGAAGAACAAATAAGATAATAATAGTGATGATAGTAATGGTGATGATGATGATAATAATAAGAATAAACAACAAAAATCATAATAATATCTATAATAATAATAATGAAAATATAATAATGATGTTAATAATAATAGTAATAATAATGATAATAATAATAATAATAATAATAATAATAATAATAATAGTAATAATAATAATAATAGTAATAATAATAATAATAATAATGATAATTATTATTATTATAATTATTGATATCATTATTATCATTATTACTATTATTATTTTCATTATAATAACAATGACAATAACATTAATAATAATAATGATTACACTAATAATAATAAAAATTGTCATCGCCATTATGATCATCATCATAACAATAATAATAATAATGATAATGACAATGATAACTATGATGATGATGATGATGATAATGATAATGATATTATACCCATAGTAATGATGATAATAGTAAATAATGAAAATAACATTAATAATGGTAGAAAATAACATAGATATCAATGATAACAATATTGATGATGATGATAATAATAATAATAGTTATTATTATTATTATCATAATTATGATTATAATAATAATAATAATAATAATAATAATAATAATAATAATAATAATAATAATAATAATAACAATAATGATAATAATAATAATAACAATATAATAATGATAATAATGATAACAATCATAATAACAATATAATAATGATAATAATAACAAATGACAATAAAGGAGGGCATGTCAGGAGGACAGGAGAGCATAGTTGCCATGTCGTCTATATGAGGTGGATTTAATCTCCCACCGACAGTGTTGCCAGACGGGAGCATCGAAACGCTTAGGTTAATTACTCTACCAGTTTTGGTAATGCTCTTTAGCGTGGTAATAGTACTTAAATCTGCCGGGTTTACAGGTTCATTAAATGTTATTTGCCGACATAGGAGCCGAAACTGAGCTATAGAATTAATGTCTTTATCTGTGAGTTATATCAAGGATTCCTATTTGTCATATTAATGGCTATCTATCTATCTGGTTTGTCTCGTCTTACTTCAAAGTAAATGAATATATAAGAGGAGTGAGAATAGTTATTGATTAGTTTTTTTCAGTAATTAATATTGTCATTATCATTACTACCACTATCATTATCACCATAACCTTCATCATTATCATCACATCATTATCAGAATCATCATCATTATCACATCATCATCATTACCACCGCCGCATTCATCATCATTATAACCACCAATATCATCGTCATCATCATTACTGCTACTATTGCTAATCATGTCACTATTAATAGTATTAGCAATATTATCAATATGATTGCAGTTGTTATCAATCACAGAAATCAGTATAAGACTCATTATCACACATATATATATATATATATATATATATATATATATATATATATATATATATATATATATATATATATATATATATATATACATACATATATATATATATATATATATATATATATATATATATATATATATATATATATATATATATATATATATATATAGTTTTGTTATACTTTTCACTGTTGTAACATCAACATCAATCTCTTTATCATATTATTACACTATCATCTACATATACATAACAATAATCACCAGATTCAAGCAGAAGCCATCATGTAAACCGATTCAGTAAATAACGGGCGGTGGTATTAAAAGCACTGATTTATATTTACACACACACACACATACACACACACACACACACGCACACACACACACACACACACACACACACACATATATATATATATATATGTGTGTGTGTGTGTGTGTGTGTGTGTGTGTGTATGCATATATGCAAGTATAAATGTTTATATATATATATATATATATATATATATATATATATATATATATATATATATATATATATATATATATATATATATATATATATATAAAATATATATACATATATATATATATATATATATATATATATATATATATATATATATATATATATATATATATATATATATATATGTATATATGTATATGTATATATATATATATATATATATATATATATATATATATATATATATATATATATATATATATATATATGTATATATGTATATGTATATATATATATATATATATATATATATATATATATATATATATATATATACATATTGTATATATTTGTATATATAGAAATATAAATGGCGTAGGCAGAGTCAGTCTTAAAATATATGCAAGGACCATTACCGCCGACTTTACTCTTACGGCTCAGCAATTTGAGTATAATGGCTTTGCAAGATGGCGCTGTTTTCACATTTTCATGCCTCCAAATACACATTTGTAGTCACCCTCCCTCTCCCTCACGCATGCATACATAAATACCGAGAACTTGCCGTATCATAAGCCAGAAATCCCGTCATTAGAACAGACAGTGATCAGAGCCAGCGAGGCGATTCGCAATGGCGGGATGTAAATGGCGAAAACAAAAACAAAAGACGAGCGGGCGAAAGGTTCCTGCCAGAATTAATGCTGTCATTAGCAGCTGACTCGACCAGGATGCTACAGGGAGCGAGGGAGGGCGGGAGGCTCGGTGTACATGCTATTGTTATTCCTCTAGTCTCCTTGGTAGCAAATCTCAGAGGAAGGGGAGAGGTGTGTGTGTGTGTGTGTGTATGGGCCTGTTGTGTGCGTGTATATGGCTATGGAAACTTTGTGTGTGTGTGTGTTTGAGAGAGAGAGAGAGAGAGAGAGAGAGAGAGAGAGAGAGGGAGAGAGAGAGACGAACAGACAGGCATACAGACAGACGGAGCGCGATAATGATAACAATGGCAAGGCGTGTGTGTACCAGAACGCTATGTGTGCGTGTGTCCTTGTTCATTCCTCCGGGAGCATTTGTAGAAACGTCCTCAGCCAATCGTGAAATCGTGAGGGTGAGAGAAAGCGTTTGTTATCTTGTCCTCTGATCGCTGCATTTTTGTTTCTTCTTGACAGAGTTCATCGAAAGCGTTTCACTTCTCCTCACAATATATATATATATATATATATATATATATATATATATATATATATATATATATATATATATATATATATATATATATATATATATATATATATATATATATATATATATATATATATATATATATATATATATATATATATATATATATATATACCTTATCGTTATTAACAAAATATAGTCATTGTTAATGTTATTATAATTATTCTTTTTTGTTATTCTTGCTATTATTGTTATTGTTATCACAATTATCAGCCTTATTATTATCATCATTATATTTTGTATATTTATCATAATTATCATTATTATTGATATTGTTTTAACATCATTATTTTTATTGATATCATTATCATTATATCATTATCACCATTTTTATTATTATCATCGTTATTGTTATAATCATCACTATTATCATCATTATTGTTATCATTATCATTATCATTATTATCATTATCATTAGTATGATTATTGTTTTAATAATAATGATAATAATGATGATGGTGATGATGACAGTAATGATACTAATAACAATGATGATGATGATGATGATAACGATAATGACAATGGTAATGGTGGTGGTAATGTTAATAATAATTATAATGATGATGATAATGATGATGATACTAACAATAATAAAAATAATAATAATAATAATAATAACAATAATAACAATAACAATAACAATAATAATAATAATGATAACAACAACAATGAATAAGCAAATAGAAATAAATAAAAAAAACCTGAACTTTGCGAATACTGACGAAGCAGACTGCAGGACCAGCAGTCGATGGCCAAACTCTCGCTTCTCGAACTTTCCAGTTGGTGAAAACAGCTGATTGCGTAACGGTATAGATGGGTGTGTGCAGCGTGAACGTAAGAATGGAAGAGAAAGATAAAAGAGAGATATAGAGAGAGAGGGAGGGAAAAAAAGGAGGAGATTTTGTTTCGATGGGAAAGCTGTGTCAGAGTGAAAGGATTTTTGCCTATTTGGTTTTCGAGTGTTTCCTGTGTTTATTTCTCTCTTTTTATTTCGCTCTGGTTTTCTGTTTGTCTGTCTGTCTGTCTGTCTGTCTGTCTGTCTATCTGTCTTCTCTCTCTCTCTTTCTCTCTCTCTCTCTCTCTCTCTCTCTCTCTCTCTCTCTCTCTCTCTCTCTCTCTCTCTCTCTCTCTCTCTCTCTCTCTCTCTCTCTCTCTCTTTCTCTCTTTCTCTCTTTCTCTCTCTCTCTCTCTCTCTCTCTCTCTCTCACTCTTTCTATTTCCCTCCCTCCCTCCCTCCCTCCCTCCTTCCTTCCCTTCCTCCCCCTTCCTTCCCTCCCATCCCCCCCTCCCATCCCTCCCTCCCCCTCCTTTCCCTCCCACCCCCCCTCCTTTCCCTCCCACCCCCCCCCCCTCCCATCCCTTCCCTCCCATCCCTCCCTCCTTCCTTCCCTCCCTCCCCCTCCTTTCCCTCCCATCCCTTCCCTCCCATCCCTCCCTCCTTCCTTCCCTCCCTCCCCCTCCTTTCCCTCCCATCCCTTCCCTCCCTCCCCCTCCTTTCCCTCCCACCCCTCCCTCCTTCATATATTTGTTGCGACCTGTTGCTAGTCCTTCAGTGCAACACCTGATCTTAAAACAACGCAGCGGAGTGCAATAAACGCGGCCCAAGTTATTGCACATCTCTCGAATTTCAACACCGGCATTTCACTTCGCTAATTGCTCAAACTTGTTGTCTCGTCCTTCCTGAAAACGTCAGAGTTGTGGTTGTTGTTGTGTTGGTGTTGAGTTGGTTTTGTTGTTGTTGTTGTTGTTGTTTGAGGCAGTGTTCTTGTTCGTCTTCTTCTTCTTCTTCTTTTTCTTCTTCTTCTTCTTCTTCTTCTTTTTCTTCTTCTTCTTCTTCTTCTTCTTCTTCTTCTTCTTCCTCTTCTTCTTTTCGTTTTTTTCACTTTTGTTGTTTTTTGTTGTGTTGGTGTTGAGTTGGTTTTCTTGTCCTTGTTGTTTTTGGTTTTGTTGTTTTTGTTTTTGTTATTTTTTGGCTTTTTTGTCGTCGTATTTTTTTTGGGGGGTGGGGGGGTTTGTTGTCGTTCTTTGTTTGTTTGTTTTTTATTACTTTGGAGTCGATGTCTTTATTTTTGTTATTTCAGCCTTTTCTTTTATTTCAATGTTTGTAGGAAATATTTTTTTACAGCTTTACAGCTTAGATGTATCAGTGAATCGCTTTTTCTTACATTCTTCATTAGCATTATCTTTATATAATTTGATTATTCATGATACTTATATCGATATTTCCTTTATTCATGTCTGATATTCTTATCCTTATCATAGGCATAGATTTACGTGCCAAACTTTTCCGAGTATTTTGACATTATCATGATCGTGAATATTGATACTTCTAACGTCATTATCATCGTCTTTCTCGTTATAATATCGCTTGTTTTTATATCATTATCATCTTTTTCTTATCATTCTCATCATCATTTTAATCATTGTTATTGCTATTACTGTTATCTTCATCCTTATCATCACTGTCAATATCTTAATGTCATTATCATCAATACTTTATTACCATTAATATCATCGTTATTTCATTTTATTACTATTGCCATTATAATCATGTCATCATTATCATTATTATCTTTATCATTTTCGTTATCTTTATTATTATAATTTTCATCATCTTTATCATTATCACATTCATTATCATTATCATTATTATTTTCATCATCTTTATCATTATCACATTCATTATCTTTATCATTATTATTTTCATCATCTTTATCATTATCACATTCATTACCTTTATCATTATCACATTCATTACCTTTATCATTATCACATTCATTAACTTTATCATTATTATTTTCATCATCTTTATCATTATCACATTCATTACCTTTATCATTTCATATCCATTATCACCTAAATTAGGAATGACAGAAGGATTAATTCGGCAATTCATAACTCGAATGTTTGATATCACTTCCCCTTTTCTTAACAATCAATCTCATCATCTACGTCATTAATTACCATCATTAGAACTCCCATCCCAGTTTCACTTTGCTAAACAAGCCGACCATGCAACAGAATGCAACGGCCGGATCGGGAAAGCCTTTGGTCTGGCCACGCCCTCGAATCATGCGATGTTGCCTCGGCGTTGCAGCGTTTTGCACGGAAGGCTTCACAGGGCAATCTTCGGGGTCGGAATTGGCGCTTTTGTTGTGTTCGACGATGTTGTTGTGAGTCTCTCTTTTCTTCTCTCTTCCTCTCCTTCCACCTCTATCTTCACTTACCCTTCTAGCGCCTCTTCCCCACTTTTCCTTCTCTCTTACCTTCCCTTCCCCATTATCCTTTCCCTTCCCCCTCCCTATCTCCCTTCCTGAACAACCTTCCTTCTCCTTCTTCCTTCTCTCTACCTCTCTCCTCCCCTAAACTCATTAACTACTCCCCCAATCCCTCCATCCCTTCACCTCAACCCTCCCTCCCCTCAAATCTCCCCATCCCTTCCATCTATTCCCCTCATTCCCATCACCCCTTTACCCTTTCCCCTTACCCCTCTCATCCTCCTCCATCCCCAATCAACCCTCCCCTTCCCTTCCATCCCATCCTCATTCCTCCATCTCCTCTCACTCCCCCTCAACCCTCCCCCTATCCCTTTCCCCTTCCCTTCCATCCCATCCTCATCCTTCCATCTCCTCTCACTCCCCCTATCCCTTTCCCCTTTCCCCTTCCCCCTCACTTACTGTGGAATATCCCTGGTGATGTTCTGCATGTCCCTCTTGGTGCAGCAGTACTTGAAGTTGTTCGTTCCGCAGCAGTACACAGGTTCCTCCGTCTCCAGGCTCGGGCAGGGGAACCCATTGCTCCACTTGCCGAAGGTGTCGATGTAGCCGGAGCAGTAGTCCTCTCCCAACA